GCGAGGGTGCGGAACTGCCGGTGGGGGGCGCTGTTGTTTTGTTTTTTTCACACATTCCCGCCGCATGGCGTGTTGGTTTATTTTTACAGCCGCTGTGGGCCAAGGCAGAGTCGTCCAGTTGTTGGGTTAGCCAAAATACGTGGCCCAGTCTCTGAGCTCGCGCCCAGGGCAGCAATTTTTTAATTAACAGCATTTTGGTATTTCCACTGTCATTTCGTTTAAGTGAATTAAATTCGCCCTTTGGCTGGGCAATTTAATGAACGCCCCGCGGTTACACAGAAACGCGTGATTGCAATTCCATGCCAAAATCTGGCATTGCCTTTAAATGATTATTAAACGAATGCAAAAGGAAATGTTTGATATGGAAAACAAATTGCAATAATTTAATTACATTTGCTTGTGTGCGCAATAAAAATGTGAAATGCAATCTAATTTACAGCCATACAAATGTAGCCGACTAATGGATACCCTACGGTAAAAACAAATTTAAAGGGAGGCCACTTTAGTTGCAGAATATGTTTAATGCGAGCCTAAGCTTACGTGAGAGCAAGCAGACATAGCACAAGCCCAATATACCCACTTACCACTGTGCGTACAGGGTATAAGAACTTAATTCCTCAACAGCCCTGACAGGCACTTCAGTTGAAGCAACTTAAACAGCAAGTTAGCCACTTGAACACTTGCGGATTTTGTTGTGTTTGTTTCGTAAATTTGATTTGCAGTCGGCCGGGCTAAGTTGGAGGCTTATGCTTAGGCCTCTGGTACTGCATGCTAAATGCGCCAGGATTATTTTCCCATAAATCAACATAAAATCGTAACAAAGGGCCACATACCAGAGCATAGCCAAGGGCAATGCCCAAAACAGCCAGCACAATGGGCAACAAACCGCAGCTAACTGGGTGCAAGGCGAATACTAAATGCCCTACAAAATAAATAATATTTATGGATAATGTGTGGGAAACTTTGTATAAACATATATATATATATAATTATTATATATAAAAAGCAAATTGAATGGCCGCTTCAGGCATTTGAGCACAAGCTAATATACCCCAAGTTAGAGTATACACAGAATGGGCAACGCATAAGCCCAACAAATGAAGTCAAGCGAAAATGGGTTCAATGCGTTGGCCTGAATGCCCTCCCTTCCTCCCTGCCGTTTTTGATTGCCTATTTACGCTCTCGGGAATTTGGTAGCCCAGAAACCCACTTGTGGCTATTGTTTAGCTGTATTTCCGTATTTCCGTTTGTTTTTACAGAAACGGAAAACGGAAATGAAGTCAGGCATTGGCCAAATAATTTTTGCACTTGACATTCGGCTTTTGTGCCTTTTATTTTGTTTGCTTTTGATTTAAATAAATAAACAAGAAATTATGTGGCAAAATAGTTGTGCCATGCAGACAGTCCAGCTATAAATAGCAGCATTATTTATTATCAACTGTCGACTGCCGCCAGAACATTTAATTGGAAAAACTCGAGACTCAATGTCGTCATCGGGCTATAAAAATAAACAGAACGCATCGCGCATACGCCGCGTGTCCCAAAGCTGGGCAGAGACTGCGGCAATTGATATTTATAAGTTGTACACAGATTTTCTCTTTTACGTCGGTTGCACAGTTTATTTTCCTTTCACCAATAAGCAATTAAAATTATATGAGCATTCGCACGAACTACCAAAAAAAAGAAGAAGAAGATAGGTAAACAGTTTGTATACCCTTTCTTTTCGCGTCTTATTGACAGACATTTTAATTATTTATACTTTTGGCTTACTTTTTTCCTGCTTTATTTGTGGCTTTTTCTATGGGAGTCTGCGGCATCCTTTGAACTTTTCGTGCTGTTCGCTGGTTTTGTTTGCTTTTTTTTGGGTTTTTGTCTGCCCGCAAATTCATTTGCCGACACCGCCCCTCCCTCCCTCCCCCACTCGCCCCAGCACGCGCAAAACTTTGTTTGCCAACATTTCATTTGGCCAATTCAGCCTTAGTCCTTGATGGTTAATATGAAAAACCCTAATTACGAATTCCAAGCAAAAAAAAAAGAAGAACGAGAAAAAGGTTGGCCCAAACCCAATATTTTATTCAATGATATTGGCGCTCAATCAGGCTTAAACCAGATCAAATTAGAGAAAAAACCAAATATACAGGTAATAATTGGCCAAAAAACCAAAAAGTTAAAAGACGTTTATATGCCCTGTAAACTGGAAGGTGAGTGTTAAGGGGTATGCTGTTGTGGTAAGGAAAGCAGAGCGTGGCTCTTGAGATCCTATATCTCTCTCTCTCTCCCTCTCTCTCCCTCTCTCTCTCTCGCTCTCTCTCACTCTCTTCCCACACTCTTCTCTTGTGCTATAAACAACAATAATTATCCCATTACATTTATCCCATTTATTATTTATTAGTATTTATTTAAGAAAATGTTTATCTTGTACGCCCCATAAATGATTACAGGGTATTACACAGTCTTTCAGCTGTAGCATACGTTCTCCTTTTTATGTGTGTTTTTTTTT